TCCTTTTCGTATCTATTAGTTGAGCTATATACACGCACGGGATAAACAACTGGAAAAACAAGTCAAGCTTATTCGAGGTGATAGAATCAAAACCCAATATAGCGAGCAGACTCAAAGTCAATTTTTTGAGGTTAGCTCATTCTTTATAAAGATCATGTATTTCTTTTTTTAGTAGAATAATTATGCATCCGTATCGTTTAGACAAATGCTTCTGTAATGAACCTTTCAAGTATTTTAAATAATCCAGAAAAGTCGTTCCTAATGATGAACTGACTATTTTGGGTTTCGATACTTTAGACCGATTTCGAATGTCCAGATCAAACAAAACGGACGAGGGCAGATCGCCAAGTAACACCAGAGGATCAAATCCATCCATATTTCCCGCCTGTGGTAATTATAATTATGTTAATATTTGGCATGAAAAAGGGGTTTTCCCAAAATGACTTGCGAACCTTTTTTTGTGTACATAGCGCATGGATTACCTGCAACCAACAACAACTACATCATCTAACCAAAGTAATGATGTGAATACGTGCTTCCAACAAACAAAAACTTCAGAAGATGAGGTGGTTGTATTTTTCATCATGTTTTTATATTTCTTTTAAGTCTATTTACCAACAAATGGGAATTTTTATGTAGGTTTCGAGAGCTGTAAAGAAAAAAAGCAAGGTTAATGAACTTTTCAAGGATATGATGCATCGTAATATATATATATTATGTGGGCCATTCAGAGAGTTGTCGAAAGTGGACTTAAAAGACTTGTTTGAATCGTTCGTTCGCGATACAACTGTTCAGTTTGATATTCCTAAAGATATCAAGGAATATCTTCATGATTTACTTGACGGGGATATTAAAAGTGCGTTATCTAAAGTAGAAAAATCACTTGATGAGGACGCACGGCCATTATTGTTATGGACAAGGGAAGTTTGTCGACATTTTATTTTTTACTATTATTACGGTGGTTTGCAAATAAATGGTGACGAAAAAACTTGGTCTACTCAAACGGTCTATCGCATTCTTGATTTATTTTCGATGTTTTTTGGAGAATTAACATCAGGAATCGCCTTGTAAGTCTTGTAATTATTTGTAATTTTTCATGTTCTTTACAAATTAATTTTATTCTAATTTAGTGGAGAGATTGTAACCGAGGCCCACAAAGATAGAATTTATAATATAAATATAGATCAAAAACCATCTAATTCAAGTAGAGGAGACAAGAACGATGCTGTCCTGTATCAAGACGAAAACGCCACAATTGTATATGAACAATCCTTTGGACCAACGGAATTTGATTCAACACATTATTTGGGGGATCTTACCAAATTGGCACGTAACGGAGTGGATGATCTGAGCTATTATTTCAATCAATATCCAAATTCTTCCATAACAACAGCAAAAAAATTCAAATCTATCGGAATACATGGATATAGTAGGTATTTTTTCTTTCACGTTTGGCACGAATGGATTGTAAGACTAACCTAACTTTCTTTTAGAAAATTTAATATCAATTTACCTCACTGACCTTATCCGTAAAAAAACTTATAGAGTATATGAGATATTTAACTGTAAAATCCCAACGACATATGCGGACCGGTGGTTGCTAGTTAAAATTGCAAATATTGGTGTCTATTTTGAGGTATTTCTTTTGCTAGACATACAAATGCATCTCATTTACTATTACTTATTGTAGATTTTATTTACAATTATAGGCTTTGCTCAAGGAACGAAAATTTGTGAAGGGAGAAATGGGTAAGGAAGACACAATCAACGAAAATGGTTCTTGTTGTGTGCACGATTGGATGTAATTAGTAAGACATAAAAGATCACACTGGTGCACACAATTCGAATGTGAAATTTTATTATAACTCTTGGAATATCTTTCAGCGGTGAGGTGTATTTTTGCCATTCATTCTAATTTATAACCATTTACAAACCTTTTATATGGAAAATTATATCCTTTATCTTTGATAGCATTATATAGCTTTCAAGGATTAGAATGATAACCAGTAGGTTGATAATAAAACATGCTCAGGACAATTTGCAATTCCTCATTTGGATCGATTCTAATAATAGGCTTGCTTAATTTACTCATTTTCAATATTACTTATAATAGTAAAAATTATATTTAGCAAAGTCAGAGTTAAGTCAATAATATGTCATAAAAAATAGCTATGGCATTTTATCGACAATATCCCAAGAGACAAAGTTTTCTTTCTTCAAAAGATCAAATATCTCATGGGCCAGCATCTAATTGGGAATTGAAACTGAAGCAGGTAAATTAAGCTTTGAGAGATGAGTTATATAATAAAGTTTTAATCAATAAATCAAATGAAAAATATATAAAGAGTTTGAAATGTAAATATACCTGATGTAAGAATGAAATTCAATCTTTCAATAAAGAATTGAAACAGCTTGAGAATGCTTCAGAGAAAGAAAAGACCAAGTTGAGATTAGAGATATTATCTCTTAAAAGAAGCTTATATTAAGATATCTTATATCGATAACATAGAGAATTAATTACAAGAATCAGAAGAGTGGGTTCAAAATCTAAAATATAGATTCAAAATATTTTTTCCTGGAGAAGCTTTCCAAGTTCATATAATTCAGAAAAAAATTTATATATGACAAATTCTTGACCTTTTCATACAAATTGATCAAGGCTTAAATCATATTGAAAACTACATTCGAGATGCTGGTGCTTCATTAAATAATTCTATAAATATTATAAATGGTATTAGAGGTTTCTTAAATACTATTCATCTTAATTATCAAAATATATATTATGCTATAGATGGTATTATAGCCCAACAAGATAATCAGAATAATCATGTATTATAGTTTCAACAAGATATCAATTATTTTTAGATTGCAAAATGTCAATTTTCAGAATCAAATTAATTAACTTATTCAAAAGTGAAATACCTTGCAAAACTATACCAACCAACTTATACCAGAATGAAATACCTTGTAAAATCATATCAATTAACTTACTCAAGATCTTAATAATAATAAACAAAGATATAATTTGTAAGGGTGTTTGTAATTTAATACAAGTTTGATATGGAATAAACAATTAAAACCTAAACGTATTCTTGAAATTATTTATAAAATATTTATTCATCACTTAGAACAGAAGCTACAACAATGCTGGGCTGATAAAGGATATTAAAATATAATCAAGATTGGCTCTTTAATAGATATTACAATAAATTTAAGGATCAGAAGACAAGTTATATCAAGTGAAAAAGTAGAGAGTGCAATTCAAAATAATTTGAATCAACAAATTTTTGCAATTCAGAATAATTTATCTATAAATAATCAGTATAAAGAAATGGTTGGATATGTATTATTTCTATTTTATAGAAAAGCTAAAGAAGATTCTGAAGAATAAATTAAAGATTTTAGATAATACTGTAAAGTATTTGGACTTGATCCACTTGCAAATGCTTGAATCAGAATAAGAATTTATGGACTTTTTGAGACTTGTTTAAGAGATGATGCAAAAAATTGATATAAAACTTATCTCAAGAATAAAAATTAGAAATTGCAAAATATTAGTGATAATATTAACTTGGCTAATCTTAATGCTATCAATGGATTGGCCAACAATAATATATTGTACACTATTAATGTCAATTAGTTTAGAGGTAAAGCTCTTCAAATAAGAAATACAGTTCCAGCTAATAACAATGCAATTGTTACACTATTGATGCCAACATATACTGTTTTCGATGAAAATTGATTAATATCTGATGGTTGACCAATAGAATTAGTGCCTAATATTTCTAATGCTAATGCATATAAAAATACTATAGCTTTAGGAATTTGCATTAAACAGATAATATACAGTTTAGAATTAATTATTCAACAATAACTGTTGAAAAATCAAGTAGTATTTTATAATATTATTCAAGATATTAATCCTATAGGTCATTTTTATACAAAATTAAAAAAAATAATTGGTTGTACCTATTCAACACTTTTAGAATTAAATCAGGAAGAAATGGTTAGACAGCAATTTATTTAGAGTCTTTTTTCTAATAACAAAATAGAAATAAGACATATTGGTTTCAAATATTCAATTTCTATTTTATTATCAAAATTAGAAAAAATTAAAAGACAGAAGGCTAAAATAATGTTGGATTAGTATAATCCCAAATCTCATCCCATTATTTTTCAATCACAATCTAAAGTCAATACAAAAAACAATTACTTAAACAATGCAAATATAAGTAGTATTATATATTGTTCTATCTCAAAAGAAAGATATAGATGAAGAACTAGTAGCAAGAAGACATTTTATATAAATAAACCAATGTAATATATTAAAGTTCATAATAATATACTAAAATAAGTACAGTTCTGAGATATATAAGATTAAGTGAAAAAGGCAATAGTGATTTGTTTTGTAAAATCAAGTTATTTTATTAATAAAAAGGAAGTTCAACCTTTTAATTCCAGGAGAAATTGGGGGTGTTTATACATATATTTTTAATATATGATTTGCATATATTATAGTAGTATACTTTGATAAAGATAATAGTTATAGAAAAAATAGTATATTCATCAAAATAGTCAAATATACTTACATTGATAAAGATAAATACTCTGGTGAAGATTGTAAACAGAGAATAGTAAATGAAATTAAAGAATATTCTAGAATAGGAAGAGATAGCTAAGTAGGTAAAGTAGGTAAAAGTACTATAGTAGATCAATGATATAAAAATTCTAAAACAAGAAAAAAACATTTCAAGAACTAAATGCTAATGGATTGTCACAAGAATAAATAAAATGTTGAGTGAAGATCAAGTATAACAGTAGAAATAAAATAAAAAACTGTAAAATTTTTTATGACTTTTACATAATCTCAACTAGTTTCACAAACTATCTCCTATAAATCTCAAGAAAATTAATCTAATCTCATTACACTTTTATAAAATAATTTCAAAAAAATTATAGCAGGTTTGAAGGGAACTATTGCTAAAGAACAACAAACTTGAAAGAAGCCTCTGGAATCAAGAAAATAAAAAGTAGATGATCTTGCTATAAACTGTTTTTTAAATAATTTTGATAATACAGGTTTACTAGAAAAAGATTATGACTATAATCCTATTGAATATTTGAGATTACAATTTGAGCAGTTGAGAATTAATTAGACAAAAATAGCTTAAATAATACATGTGGTTTTAAAATCATCTCAATACAAACATTTAAAGTATGATAAAACAGGTCATAATTCTCACAACTGCTTTAAAAATAAAATAAAAGCAAGTTTAATATTTTAGCAAAATTAAATATAGTTAAAAAAAAAAGTAAAATTAATCTTGCTACTAAAGATTTAGATTCTGAATCTGATATTAGTTCTTCTAATAATAAATTCACTTCTGGTTTTAACTTTGAGTCTGATTCTGAATCAAAATCTGATTTTGAAAATAATTTATCTGTGAATAGAATCATGAAAATTATCAAAGTCATTAAAGCAAAAAAAAATAAAGTAGAAAAGTAAATTATCTTCTAAGAAAATATCCAAATCCCATAAAACTAAACAGAAAGGCATTATCACTTCTAGTGGATTTAATGAATCATTACAAAGCAGGCTATCAGATAATTTTTTAAATTATAAATTTCAAAATAAATTAACTATTCTTGAGCAAAATATTTGTCAATTTTATTAGATATGCTCAAAAAGATTTTTTTTCCATATTAGTTAAAGAAATTTAAATCTGAAGACAAATATTTAACTATTTCAGATTTCACAAATCACTGAGATTTGATTCCAGAAATATCTAATTCAAATAAGAAAGATAAAACTTTGAACAATTTTATGGAATCAATTTTATCCATCAGAAAGAACTAATAATTAGTGTTGCAATTATACTAGTTAAAATCAAATACTTAAATTTTAATATTGATATTAGATAGTGGCATCAAATCTGCAATTGTATCAAAAATATTGTTAAATATATAGTTAAAAAAAAAGATAAGTTGAAAAAATATAATCTTAATGGCATTGCTATTGTTTCAATAGAATCTATTAGCATTACTTATAATTTATCAATAACATTTTCTTTGGATTTTATTATATGAAGATTTTGTAGTTATATGATTTTCTAAACCAATATTAATATTTTCAAATTCATTTCTTAAAAAATATAAATATCTATAAACTGGAATAATGATAAAATAAAAATTTATTATAATGGAAAAGATTTTATTATTTTGATTACTATATACAAGTCAAAAATAAACTTGAAGTAAATTGTGCATTATATCTCAGAATGATAAGTCTTGTATCCAATCAAATTTCTCAAGAGGATGATAATAATAAGGGTAATAATAAATTATTGGAGAAATAGTATGCTTCTGTGAATTCTAGCTTATTGCAAATCAATAGAGCTTTACTTCTAAATTTTGACAATTCAACTTTAAAAAAAAATTCATAAGCTATGAGAAGTTAAAAAAATCACTATATAAAGTACTTGAATCCAATACTGAATTAATGAACAATAAAAAACTTTGGGCTTATAGAAACAAATCTGATATTGAAACAGTATTACTAATCGAAATTTAGTTATTTAACATATTGAATTATTGCCAAATTTTTAAATTTTTATAATTAAATTTAAGTCAAATTTATGCTGTTTGGTACCACTTGGCATAAAATTAAACATAAATATTTATTAATAAAATATAAATATTTGATAGATAACTTAGCCAGAATTTGATATATTTTAAGTTTAAAAATTTAATGAATTTTCGTATATCTATATTAGCAATTAATTTTATTATTTAGAAAATAAAAATAATTAATAAATTTAATAAATATTTATAATTATAATTAATAAAAAGTTTATTAAAATATGATAATAAAATAATATAATTTGAATATAACAAAAAATTGCTCATATAAACTAAGTTATTTGTTATCTTCTGTTTTTTCTTTTTCTTCTTTCTTTTCTTTTATTTCTTTTATTTTCCTTAATTGATCTTATTCTAGATAATCTTCAAAATCCATTTTGTGTTCTTTTTTTTTCCTTTTTTTCAATTATTTTTTTCTTGCCAATTTTTGTATCTACTACTAATTTTGCCTTAGTAATTGTCTTCCTGACTTTATCTATTATTATACTTTTTCCAGTTTAATACTTTTTCAAATATATTAATGATTCTTTAGCAATCTTTTGTTTTTTATGTTTTTTTACTAATTCTTCAACTCCTCCTTTCAAATAATAAGCCCAATTCAGCAAATTTTAGATAATATTATATCATAATAAGTTGCAATCTTATAATTTCTTTTACGAGTTATTTTTGTATATTGAATTGATATTAAATATTTATTCAAACTTCTTTTAGCAAGTTAGTCAACTATATAATAAATAAATTTTTGATATTGTTATGACAAAATAGCAAGTCTGTTGCTAACTTGGGACAATGCTCACATTATATTACAGATAGGCTATGGGTCATCTACTTCTAACTTCTTGAACTACCTTGTGAGTTAGATCAGTGGTCCTCAATAATCATGCCACAAAAACCACTGTGGCCTTACCAATTATCCTATTGGGCAAGAACTTTACTTTAAGATAAGTTTATTAATATCTTTATTGATTATTTGTATAACAAATTACAATTTTCTCTATTTTACTATTTCTTCTCCATTACAAGTTACCTCTATTTATATCTATATGTATATCTATATCTTTCCCATTGCTGGTGATCTACTACTATTTATAATAATACTAATGCATCTATTCTAATCTGCAATGCATTCTGCAGCTGACTGTTGCATAAGCTAATACATAAGTGATGATGTGCCATGACAAAGTCTAATTTGCTATACAAACAAAAAAAGAATTTATAAATTTCTATATTAAAATATACAAATTTTATATCAACAGTATATAAATATTTGACTTTAATGATATTTAAATAGCTTATAAAAATGCCAACTTTAATTATATACAACTATTTTTCTTTTATTGTTTTCTGGATTAGTTTTATTTTCTTTAGGTGAATGGACCTTTATTTTTTTAAGAACATTAAGTAATTCATCTTAATATTTTGTAATTTTTTTAGACTTTTTACTAATTAATAATTGTGTACTTTTAATTCTTCATGCCTTTTTCTTTATTATTTATTAAAAATTAGTATATATAAAGTAATATATATATA